GGCATGACAGAAAATAATTGAGAAGCACTGGTATAAATACAGCTGTTCTGTGAAAACTTTTTTTTTTCATCAGATAGGGGACAAAGTTTATGCGCGTGAGAGTAGCAGAGGCTGGCACTGTGTGGAAGCAATCGGCGGCAGCGCTGCCACCCAAATGCTTCCACCTGACAGGCGAGACCGGCTGCTTGCCCACAGGGCTGAAGGACAAAAGAAAAACTACCTACAATTTTTTTCACAGCATTGTGACGTTAATTTACTAAGAGAATGAGGACATGTTGAGGAGGACAAGGGTCTCTTCCCCCCAACCCTGGTTGTTATGTTGTGGGGGAGTGGGGAGGGTGACTTTGGAATGTTCTTTTATTTTCGCTTTCAGTGATAATAGTAAATAAGACAAATAGAGAGGGTGAATCTCCCTAGTGGGGATAGACAGCAACAAAAAGCTGACAGGTGTTCCAATCCCTCTACACTCCATTCAAAACTAAAAAAAAATAAGTTTTACCTTTAATTTTAGTGATGCACCGATATATATCAGCCACCAAAAATTATCAGCCGAAAGTAGGGTTATTGGTGTTTGGCTGATAGAAAAAGGGAAAAAAAAAAAAAAAATAATTGTTAAAAATAATTGACTTCAAAGCAAAATCGCTTTAACTGTATATATATTTCATTTTATTTTCTGTCCAAGTGTCACCTTCATTAAAAGTTTATTAAAATTTTTATTTTAAGTTACTGGATTGTATTTTTTAAAATCCATATTATTTAAAAAGTCGAATACAATTATATATAAAAAAAAAATAAAAAAAAAAAAAACACCTGTCCTTTTCGGTGTTTGGCCAAGTGCATCCTGAATTTTCGGTTTCTGATTTGGTCCAGAATTTTCATTTCAGAGCACCACTAGTTATACTTTAAGAGAAACCGTTGATTTTGGATTACATCTTGGAGCTATGTAGTTGAAAAAGCAGTGATATACCTGCTCTCGTAAAGACTGTAAAGAGGCTAGATTGGAACATGAAGAGGTTTATTGAATAGTTATTACTCTATTCGTTTTTTTAAGCGCTGGCTTTTCTTTTAATTTTTAGGTTTTTATTTCTGTCTGGTCCACCTGAGGAGAGCCCTCTCCATTTGTCTTTGTAACCATCATCACAGGAACAGAAAACGATAGTGATCCAAAGTTTGACAGCTGTCATCAGAACAAGCAGTGATGAGGAATCTTCCAATACAGAAAAATTTTCTGATGGCAACTATCTACATCACACATTGGAGAGATTTCCTCTCATTTCTTTTGTGTCTACAAGACCGAAATTGAAGAGAAATTTACTAAACGGGATACAGCAATAGGAACCCGACTTTGTATTTTAAGTTGATTGTCTCAGCAACCAAAAGATTGAAGCACTATGTGCATCCATTAAAATAAAGTCAAACTCAATATTCAAAACTTTAGAAAGATTCCAATAATCCAATAATGTGATACTTGCCAAAGGGGGCAGTACAAGATATTAACTCTGCAGGGGGCCCAAACTTTTGCAGACGCCATTTTTTTGTTTTCTGTTATTTTGAAAGTGTAAATGATGGAAGTAAAATTTAACTTTTGTTGACATATTATAAGAATGTCTAATCTGTAATTTGATGCCTTTTGGAGATTTTTTCTTTCCTTGGCTTCTTTATGCACATTAATACAAATTTTTAGCTGGGGTGCCCAAACTTTCGATCCCAACTGTATATGTAAAGTGCTGCATAAATGTAAAGTGCTTGCAAAAAGGGTTCATTTGGGGGATATCTGTACTGTTCTGACATTTTTGGGCCTCAAGAAATTACTGTACTTCAGGATTGATCAATTTTCAGATATATACCATAATTTGTGAACACTTTCCTACAAACTAAATAAATACTAATTTGGGTTATTTTCACCAAAGACATGTAGTAGAATACATCTTGGCCTAAATTTATGAAGAACAATTATTTATTTGCAAACTTTTATAACAGAAACAAAGAAACGTGTTTTTTTTTTTTTTCAAAATTTTCAAACTTTATTGTTAATTTGGCAAAAAATAAAAGCCCCAGTGGTGATTAAATACCATCAAAAGAAAGCTCTAGTTGTGTGAACAAAATGATAAACTTTTAGTTTGGGTACAGTGTTGCACGACCACGCAATTGTCAAAGTGTGAGAGTGCTGAAACCTGAAAATTGGCCTGGGCAGGAAGGGAGTAAAAGTGCCCGGTATTGAAGTAATAAAACGCAGACATTTTCCATTTGAACACATGCAGCTGCGTTTGAATGGAGAATGCAGTGTCTGAGGAGAAATAGCTACACTTGATCTGCTTTCCCTGCAGTTCTGACACACCTGAAAATGTATGGCCAAAATGTAAAATCATATATCCCTTTCCACATTGACTTTTAGTAATTTCTAGTTTACTCCTATTAATCTGAACAATCCTAAAGATCACGAAGAATCCCACAAATTTACTTTCTTGAATTCTGTGAAAAGCATTCACTATGCCCTGTGAGCAGCACTGCTGTGTCACACATTTCAGAGCCTGCGTTCTGAATTACAGAGATGTGGAATAGGAGTTTCAGATGGCAAAGCCAAAACAAGAATTACTGTTTGCAGGCAGCAAGGAACTATGGGATATGTAGTCCTTAGCCACTTGCCCTCCAGAGGATTTACCCCCCTTCATGACCAGGCCATTTTTTTTGCGTTACGGCGCTGCATTACCTTAACTGACAATTGCACGGTCATACAATGCTGCATCCAAATGAAATGAAAGTACTTTTTTTTCCCACAATAGTTTTTTTTCAGTGGCATTTGATCGCCTGTGCAGGTTTCATTTTTTGCACTATAAAAAAAACCCGACAATTTTAAGAAAAAAAAAAATTACATATATAATTTTACTTTTTGCTATTAAACATGTCCAGCAAAAAAAAATTTAAAAATCAAATTGTCATAAATTTAGGCCAAAATGTATTCTGCTACATGTCTTTGCTAAAATAAAATCCTGATACGTGTAAATTAATTGGTTTACGTGAAAGTTGTAGCATTTACAAATGGAGGTATACAGTGAAGGAAATAAGAATTTGATCCCCTGCTGATTTTGAATGTTTGCCCACTCACAAAGAAATGATCAGTCTAAAAATCGAATGGTAGGTGTATTGTAACACTGAGGGACAGAATAGCAACAAAAAATTCAAAAGAAATGCATGTCTAACAAATGATGCACTGAATTGCATGTCCATGAGGGAAATAAGTATTGGATCCCCTATCATTCAACAGGATTTCTGGCTACCGTGTATCTTTCATACAGGTAACAAGCTGAGATTAGAAGCAGTCTCTAAAAGGGAGTACTGCTAATCTCATTTTGTTACCTGTATAAAAGACACCTGTCCACAGGAACAATCAAACAATCAGATTCTAAAATCTCCACCATGGCAAAGACCAAAGAGCTGTCCAAGGATGTCAGGGACAAGATTGTAGACGTACACAAGGCTGGACTGGGCTACAAAACTATCACCAAGCAGCTTGTTATATCTACAGTTTTTATATCTGCGCATGCGCGCGACGGACGGCGCGGTCATTACCGCTAACTGATGTGCATGTGCTGCCCAGGATATATAAGAACTGTTACTGAGGGGGGCCAGCTTCCTTTGAAAACGTGCCTTAGCACGAAACATGTCAGGAAACTGCCCTCAGTGACCATTACCACGTGGATTTCATTCTCGGCCAAGGGCCATTTACACTCAAATTGTAAGTTTTATTCTTCTATTGTTTGCACCTTAATAAAGCAGTGTTGCACTAGGATACTCTTAGTGCTTGGGCTCATTTTCCTTTGAGCCTGCCTTTTCTAAGAGGATCATCAGAAGACTTCCTAAGCATTGTCTCCCTCTGGTGGTATTTGATCGTACTAAACTCAACTGGATACCTGGTTAGAGAAAGTTTGATGACATCTTGGTTGCTGGCTCCCTCTGGTGGTCTTGGATGAGTTTGGTCATTCGGAAGCCTGGCTGACAGATGTCTAGATGTCCTAATCCAGATGACCGGGTTGTTTTCATCATTAACATGCGCTTACTATAGCGCTATCTGGTTAGTGGAATCTATACTCATATCTACCACCAGTGTCATTACTACCGCCTTCGTCTGATATAGACGGTCACCCATATATCACCTACTTATGGAATGTTGAACTATTGATCAATCTTTATTTGCATAATGATTATATATAATTTTTCCATTACAACAATTTTGGTATAGATTTATAAATAGCAATATCCATCTTAGCGCTGCATGTTATTATATATATGGTGGTGGAAAAATTCTGCTTTGGGGGTGTTTTTCTGCTAAGGGGACAGGACAACTGCACCGCATCGACGGGGCAATGCACCATCAAATCTTGGGTGAGAACCTTCTTCCCTCAGCCAGGGCATTGAAAATGGGTCGTGGATGGGTGTTCCAGCATGACAATGACCCAAAACACACAGCCAAGGCAACAAAGGAGTGGCTCAGGAAGAAGCACATTAAGGTCCTGGAGTGGCCTAGCCAGTCTCCAGACCTTAATCTGATTGAAAATCTGTGGAGGGAGCTGAAAGTTCGAGTTGCCAAACGTCAGCCACCAAACCTTAATGACTTGAGAGGATCTGCCAAGAGGAGTGGGAAAAATCCCTCCTGAGATGTGTGCAAACCTGGTGGCCAACTACAGGAAACATCTGACCTCTGTGATTGCCAACAAAGGATTTGCCACCAAGTACGAAGTCATGTTTTGTGAAAGGGATCAAATACCTTATTTCCCTCATGAACATGCAAATCCATGCATAATTTGTTAGACATGCATTTCTTTTGAATTGTTTGTAGCTATTCTGTCTCTCAGTGTTATAATACACCTATCATTCAATTTTTAGACTGGTCATTTCTTGAGTGGGCAAACATTCAAAATCAGCAGAGGATCAAATGCTTATTTCCTTCACTGTATATACTGGAATTTTTAGTTATGCTAGTAATGGCGGCGATCAGTGACTTATAGCGGGACGGCAGGGGCATTCTGACACTGGGGGGGAACTGACTTGGTGTCACTGACATACTCAGTGACACCAATACAGTGATCAGTGCTAATAAAAAGCACTGACACTGTACTAATGACACTGTGCAGGAAGGAGTTAACATGTGGGGCGATCAAAGGATTAACTGTGTGCTGTTTTACTGTGGTCTGTGTTTCAACTGTAAGCACACTGCTTGTGTGCAGGAGATGACAGGGGAGAGAACTGTATTGTTTACATACAGTACTCTCCTTCGGTAATGCTCCCCGATCACCAGGTGCTGGCGAGTAATCACCGGACGGGACCCGGTGATTGACAGCCGAGGCCGCGAATAGCAGCCCAGGTAGGGCACGTGCCCCCTACCTGGAAGTGCAAAATCACGTATATATATTGTGTTATTTTGCACACCCCTGCCTCCCTGTAGCAGTAGATCTGCTACAGGGTGGCAGGAAAAAACGGTTAGAAATGTAAGTAAACAGCAAAGGAGAAGCTGCAAAGCATGCATGGAAGCCAGGAAATTATGGAAACAGATGGCCAGCAGACAGGTAGATTTTTCAAGTTTATATCGTATTGTTAAAAATATCTATTGTTTATATTGCTATTACCATGCTGAGGTAATACCATGATAGTGTATGCTGTAACCATAGATTTCAGTTAGCAGACCATTCACACCAGCAAGCCGCATACAGATCCTAATCCATTGTTCAGTTTACTTTTTACCCCTACACAATTTTATTGAAATGTCACAAACAACATTTCACTATAGATCAATTTGCTGCAGTGGTGTTGTAAGACACTCAAAAGGGATCTTCAATATCTCCGGATCATACAGCTGCACCTCTAGTAATGTTGTGTACCTTATCAGTGCAGAAAATGCAGCAAAGGATCTTATGCTGGTGAAACAGGACAGACGTTGCAAACAAGGATGAATTTGCACAGACATACCATCAAGGAACATAAAGAAGATGACTCTTGCACACCTGTAGGACACCATTTTGCACAACCAGGCCCACACAATGGGAGACCTCAATATTTTAGTTCTGAAAGGAAATTTCAAATCCATTCAGGAAAGAAAAACTTTTGAACTAAGAATGCTAATTCTATTTGACACAAGAGATAACGGCCATAATTTGGACATGGGATTCCTCACTCATTATCCAACAGTTTTATGACCATCACCTCAAGCATGACTGCCTCTGTGTGAGTGCTGTCCCCCCCCCTTTTGCTTTTGCTGTGTCTTATCTCTAGCCTCTTTTTTTTTTTTCATCTCTTCTAACATTCTGCTAAAACTTTGTGAGTAGTACTGCTTGAACCTTGAAGGGGACACTCCCCGAAAGCTTGTCCTCAAAATTGTATGTTAGTGCAAATAAAAATAGTATCACGGGCAGTACTCAATGGTTTCTGGTGGTTTATGTCGCAACCCAATATATTGGGGGGAAAAAAAGAAAAAGTACAGGGATGTTGAATTCCTATCGCCCGACATCCGGGCAAGCACAGCAGGGTTAAGAGCCAAATATCAGCTCTCGTAAAAGCGATACAAGCAGCTCTAAAGGGGGGGGGGGGGGGGCGCGTCTGTGGAACCCCCCCTCCCACTTGGCTGAGGCACACACCGGTCCAGTCCCGCACACACACCCCCCCCCCCCCCCCCCCCGCTGCCCATTAGCGGAGAGCGCCACCAATCAGAGCCAGGTGTTCTCCTTGTCCAGCAGTTCTCTATAAGAATGCAATCAGAGATTGGCAGCCATACAGAGCACACTGTCTATGACTGGCACCACTCTCCGCCAATCATTTCTTTAGACTTTATATTTATATTCTTATTTATTTTGTTTGTTGTAGTCATTATCTGTAGACAGACATACAGACCTTTTATTTTAATTAATCTTGTTTATTATTATTGTTTTCTGCAGATTATTTTATGTATTAACCACTTGCCTACTGGGCCCTTATACCCGCTTCGTGCCCAGGCCAATTTTCAGCTTTCAACACTGTCGCACCTTGAATGACAATTGCGCAGTCATGCAATACTGTACCCATATGAAAATTTTATCTTTTTTTTCACAAAAATAGAGCTCTCTTTTGGTGGTATTTAATTGCCACTGGGGGTTTTATTTTTTGCACTATAAACATTAAAAAAAAAAAAAAAAAAAGTTCTTTTATTTCAATTATAAAATTTTGCAAACAGGTAAATTTTTCTCCTTCACTGATGTGCTTTGATGAGGCTGCACTGATTGGCTGCACTGATGAGGTGGCACTGACAGGCAACACTGATAGGTGGCACTGGTTATCAGTGTCTTGATGATCAGTGCCGATCCGCTTTTGTGACAGCAGAACTTTCCTCACGCTGTGACAGTGTAAAGAAAGTGCTGCCGATAACCGGCAACTGTATTTACTCTGTGATCTGCTGTGTCATTGGACACATTTGATCACGTGGTAAAAGGCCGCTGTGATTGGCCTTTTACCTCATCAAATGATCAGCTGTTTCCATAGGACACAGCACTCACCCGGTGCGCGCTGCTAGGGGCACACGGGAGGGCGCGTTCTGGGACGACGACATATGATGCCCTCTCAGAACTGGATAACTGCACCGTAGTCGTCATTCGGCTGTAGCACGGTTAGCAAGTGGGCAAAAATAAAAAAGCAAAAAAAAAAAAAATCCAAACATACATCTCTTTAGGGGTAGAGCAGGTACACACACACGCATGCACACACGCGCACACACACGCAGAAATGTCACTGGTACAGTAGCCCATTTATCTGAATGGCCTGCTGTATCTGTGGGTAAAGACATCCCAGAACCTTTTTCAAAAACTCGCCACAGAATCAACATGGTGCTGACAATGTTTTCCAACACATGCACCCCAGCTTGTTGGCTAAAAAGCGGCACATTTTGCCTGTGGGTGGGAACACAACCATATTTTACATTTCCAACCCACAGACAAAATACGATACTTTTTAGCAGACACACAGGTATGTCATTAACTCCTAATAGCACCGCCATGCATCAGAAAATCCGCCACAGCACCATGCGGGCCCTGCAACTCGATTTTGAGAAAGGATCTGGGACCCACACAGGTACAGCAGCTCATTACGATAATGGGGCTGCTGTAACCGCACGCATGACCAGCACATATATGTACCTACTCTTAGGGCCCATTCACACCAGGACAAAAAGTGCATTCTGTGTATGCTTCCTGCGCCACACTTGAACATTCTGCCCTTGTGAGACGTGTGTGGATTGCAATTAATTGTTAATGCACATGTGATTCCAGCCTCAACTGCCATGTGTACTGCGCAAAGGGATTTTGATGACCTGCGTCTGGCGTACGATCCTAACGCACCTCGTATGCAGGAAAATGACGCCTGTGCACAAGAGCCCTTAGGAGACCTAGAGATGGTGATGGTAGCTAGCAGACTGTTTTCATTGGCCTAGAGAGCAGAGGGTGAAGATAAAATCTGTGCTGAGCTCCAGACTCAGCATGTCCTACAAGGAGCAAAGGGAACGTGATTCCAAAGTGACCCCACAGACTGGAGGAAATGACCAGCACTCTGTACACGGTCACTGAATCCCACAGCGTGATTCCCAAGTGACCCCACAGACTGGAAGACATGGCCAGCACTCTGTACACAGTCACTGAATCCCACAGCGTGATTCCCAAGTGACCCCACAGACTGGAGGAAATGACCAGCACTCTGTACAGTCACTGAATCCCGCAGCGTGATTCCCAAGTGACCCCAAAGACTGGAGGAAATGACCAGCACTCTGTACACAGTCACTGAATCCCACAGCGTGATTCCCAAGTGACCCCAAAGACTGGAGGAAATGACCAGCACTCTGTACACAGTCACTGAATCCCACAGCGTGATTCCCAAGTGACCCCACAGACTGGAGGAAATGGCCAGCACTCTGTACACAGTCACTGAATCTCACAGCGTGATTCCCAAGTGACCCCACAGACTGGAGGAAATGGCCAGCACTCTGTACACAGTCACTGAATCTCACAGCGTGATTCCCAAGTGACCCCACAGACTGGAGGAAATGGCCAGCACTCTGTACATGGTCACTGAATCCCACAGCGTGATTCCCAAGTGACCCCACAGACTGGAGGAAATGGCCAGCACTCTGTACACAGTCACTGAATCTCACAGCGTGATTCTCAAGTGACCCCACAGACTGGAGGAAATGACCAGCACTCTGTACACAGTCACTGAACCCCACAGCGTGATTCCCAAGTGACCCCACAGACTGGAAGACATGGCCAGCACTCTGTACAGTCACTGAATCTCACAGCGTGATTCCCAAGTGACCCCACAGACTGGAGGAAATGGCCAGCACTCTGTACACAGTCACTGAACCCCACAGCGTGATTCCCAAGTGACCCCACAGACTGGAAGACATGGCCAGCACTCTGTACAGTCACTGAATCTCACAGCGTGATTCCCAAGTGACCCCACAGACTGGAGGAAATGGCCAGCACTCTGTACAGTCATTGAATCCCACAGCGTGATTCCCAAGTGACCCCACAGACTGGAAGACATGACCAGCACTCTGTACAGTCATTGAATCCCACAGCGTGATTCCCAAGTGACCCCACAGACTGGAAGACACGACCAGCACTCTGTACACGGTCACTGAATCCCACAGCGTGATTCCCAAGTGACCCCACAGACTGGAAGACATGACCAGCACTCTGTACAGTCATTGAATCCCACAGCGTGATTCCCAAGTGACCCCACAGACTGATTCCCAAGTGACCCCACAGACTGATTCCCAAGTGACCCCACAGACTGATTCCCAAGTGACCCCACAGACTGGAAGACATGACCAGCACTCTGTACACAGTCACATGTAATCCTCACAATGCACCTGGTAGACCAGAGGTGTGGAGAAGATATAAAGTCCGGCTGATCTCACCATCCATAGGAAACACAATGCACACAAGTCCATGCAGGTGGATGACTGCGACCCCCTCCGCCCCCAGCTACTCACCCCCAGATAACATAATTGGTCTTGACGTTTTTGGGCCAGGAGAACTCCCCGAATATAACTTCATCGCCTTTAACGTTGATTTCTTTCTTCTGGATGTTGTACTGACGAAGAACGCTCAGCACGTCCGCCATGGTCGCCTCCTCCGGACTGCCTCGGCCACAGCAACGACCCTACCAGATGAGCTGCCTAGCGACGCACGGCACGTCACAAACCCGTGACGTTACCGCGTTACACTAAGAAACGTGGGTCGTCTAACGTTCTGCCAGATTGTGCGAGGACCTCGCTAGTAAGGCTGCCC